GTTGATCAACGTTAAAATCGAGCTACAAAATATTTTTAAGATTTCTTAGAGAGTACCCTTTTAAAATGTAGATGTTCTTGGGACCGCCCTATATGGGCCACAGCAAAGGCCCATCTATGTACATCTTCGTCAATTTTTGTTAGAGTTTTATAAGGAATACTTTAAACAATTTATGAATTAATTCGACACTAATGAGCATTAAAAACCTTCAAACCATAATTTTTGGGATTTTTCCTCAATTTTTTTTGTTGAAACCGCCTAAGACTCTTTATTAACTTTTCCAATGGAATCCCCTTGAAAATATGAAAAACGCTGATATGGCCCATGGCGATGACTATAAACCTGCCAATTCATATCCGACTTTTAAGCAAAATACCTTAAAAAATTTTTAGATTAATTCCCTATCATTTTACATGATAAATCTAGAAACAAAATATTTTAGAATTTTTTGTCAATTTTTCCGGATGGAACCTCTAAAAAATAAGCTTTCCCCCATATAGCCCATATTGCTTTCCAATCTTCTTCTCATAACGATCTACATACATACCTTCTCCGATTTTGATTCGATTTTTGAATGGAATACCTTAATTTTCCTATCATTCTGTCCTTAAATTTAAAATAAAAATATTTTTTTTTTGTTTTTCCTTCATGTTCTCTTTAAAACCCTTTGAAAATGTATTTTTCCCCCATATTACTCCAAATATGATGTCTTTAACTTCTACAATTCGAAAGCTGTTCTTTAACGTAATACCTTCAATGACTGCTAGATCGATTATGACACAAATTTGAGTATTTTCCTTAAAATTTTTATTAAGAACCCTTCTAATCAGTCGCCTAACTTTAACATTTTCGAAAATATTAATAACATCCTACAGTTATCGTATAAATATACAGAAAAATAAGGATGTTATAAAATCGTATGGACTTCAAAAGGCTTCAAAGTCAGCTTTGTTGAGGACACGATCATCTTGGTTCGGTCGATGATGTGGCAACATTTTTTTTCCTGCAATATCGAGGGCCCCCTCAATGATTGATCCGACAATTTTTGATTCTTGTGCGCTATTCGGCTGGGAAGTTATGTCCTTGTTTTTTCCCCCAGCTTTGGCTTTATTTTTGCTATTAGACTTGGGCTGAGCTTTGGCTAAAGCCTCGAATTGAGCCTTGTTCTTAGTTTGGTCTTTAGCTTGGCCTTTCTTTGCTTTTGAATCGGATCCCGATTCTGTGGCAGATCCTGATGATGTAATATTCTTAGCCGATTCATTGGATATCCCATATCCTAGTATTGTTTTCAAAAGATTATTATTTTCTTTACCAGATCCTTTAGATCCTTGAGTAAATGCCAAAGCAGATGCCCAAGCCGCATCGATTGCAGAGTCTAAGCCGGACTCTCTTGGATATTTCATAATAGATCCTTGAGCAGACACTGGAGCAGATTTTCGATGAGATTTCCGAGCAGATATTGGAGCAGATTCCCCAGCAAGTATCGAAGGAAATTCTTGCTCATAAGATTTGGCAGACACCCAAGCTCCTAGATCTAATTTTTTAGCAGGTAGCGGAGCACTGGAAAATATAGAAGGAAAGTCTCGATCATAAGTGGGACTAGATTTCAGGGCAGATATTAGAGTTGGTTCCCTAGCATAATTGGAAGGAAATTTTTGATTATAAGTGGCACTAGATTTCGGTGCAAATATAAGAGCTGGTTGCCCAGCAGATTTGGGAACAAATTCTTGTCCAGAGTAAGCAGATAGTGGCGCGGATTTCCAAGTAGATATTGGAGAAATTTTTGGAGAATCGTGAGCCGATTCACGAGGAGGTGGATATTCATATTCTTGACCATAAGAATCAAGTGATTCCCGAGCAGGTACTGACGCACATCTTGGAACAAATTCTTTAGCGTAATAGTTAAACAATTTGCGACCAGATACTGGAATAGATTCTTCAGCACATTTTGAAGTCGATTCCCCAGCAGATATTGAAACCAATTCTTGAGCATAATAGTGGGCAGATTCTAAAGTAGATTCTCGAGAAGATTGAAAAACGGATTCCAAACCAGATCCGTTGGCAGATTCTATGCGAAATTCAAACCCAAATCCATAATCTGGAATGTCTCTTGCAAACACTAATGTCGACTCTACAGCTGATTCTTGAGCCGATTCTCTAGACGATTCAAAAATGGATCCTGTTGCAGAGCCAGTTTCTGATCGCGAATCCGATTCCGAGCCAGAATCAGAGGCAGTCTGCTGATCTGAGGAACGAATGTGCTCCTGCTGGCGGAGGAGATGCCAGTAAGTGGTATTCGGAGCATACCGGGTCTGGTTCATCTTGTGTCGTTTAATGGCCTCCAAGGCAGTCTTGGTCTGTTCCGAGGGATTGGCCGGCAGGACGTAATATCCATCTCCGGTAGCTCCATTGGTCACAGTTAGTTGGGCCATGCGGCAAGTTATGGGGGTATCAGAGAAGGCTTTAAGGGGGGAGGTGAAGGGTGTTTATTATTATAGTAGCTACTACCTTTAATGAAGTACTAGTAACTAGTTACTAGTATGTAACAATTAATAACTATTTATTATTTTTATTAAAAACCAACCAAACTTTTCCTTAAATTTAAAAAATCTTTTAAAATATATAACATTACTAAATCAAACTAAAAACTAAATTATATATTAAGTATTATATTTTTTAAATAATTATGTATTTAAAACCAAAAATTCTGCCACTAAAATATCCTTAATAAAAATAATATCCCCAAAAACTCACCCACAAAGTGCAAGGCTTCCTTTAGCTCGATTTCCGGGTCAGACATGGGTTGCGGAGTGGGATAGTCCGTATGCGGAACTACGATTACATCTTCGCCCATGAGCTTCCGGGCTCTGGTGGAAAGGGATTTCTTGCCCGTGGTGGCTATAGTGTCCGGTATTGGTTTGCCCCTCTCGTCCCGTTCGACCTGAAGTTCCCCATTCTCGAAGCCAGGATATGGTAGTGCTTTAAAATTAGTTTTAAAAAAATAAATAATAATTTTAAGACTTATTTTTTTAAGAAATGGGAGAAAAGACTCAGGACTACTTATTTTTAAAGAAACTAATATAACTTTATGTTCATTATTTATACTTACGGCTTAAATTACTAGGATCATTGCCTCGTCGGTTGGGTCCTAAGGGATCCCAGATTTGTTCGGTTTCCCCCAGCGGTTTCCACTTTACGGAGGTCTGTGGTAAACTGAAGTACGGCCATGTCCTTGGCATTGCGCGTATGTGGTGGACCTCGTTGTCGGGACCCTCCTGGTAGGATATCATCTGACCCGGCTGGACCTGCTCGAGATCCGCCTGCATCCTGGCACATTCCAGCTCGTCATTCAGGTTGTAATAGGCCTGATGGCGCAGATAGTGAGTTTGAGTAGAAGTTTGATCCTGCATCGGCACAGTCAAGACCTGAGCGGCCGAGGGATAATGATAGTAGGTAGTTGACATCAGGCTATGCGTCTGGTAGAAGGACATATGGGGTCGGATCCGATGATGATATGGCCGCCTATGAATATACTTCTGATTATGGGGCTGCTTGAGCGGCGGCTGGGTCTGCTGTTTCTCCGAGGCCTGGCGCTCGAGATCGTCCCTGTCCCGACGGATCTTGGCGAGCACTTCCTGCTCGGCTCGCTCCTCGGGTGTCGGCTCCATGGGAGGTCCAATGAATTCCAATTCCTTTACGCCATCTGGTAACTGCCAGTATTTTTTGATATAAAATTTAATAAAAATTCCATAAGAGAATAAAGAAAGAACCAAAAACCTGATGGATTTATCTAAAAGATCTCTCTCTACTTACATGTAAATGTTCATTGGATAATATTTGTTTGAGTTCTTCCTCCAAAGCTGCAGCGGCGACCGATATAAGTTTTTCGATTTCAGGATCAGGCTCAGAAGGGGGCGGCGCTTTTTGCTGGTCGATGGGAGCCCTATTCGTGGTAACCCAAGCTGGAACCTGGTCCCTGTTCTGTTGATGAAACTGCTGATGATAATGATAATTTTGAAAAGAACCACGACGTTGGGGGTTGGGGGCCCAGTTAAGCTGCTGCATGGCTAATAGATTCTGTTTTTGGAGAGAGGTGAAAACATTTAAGAAGTCCGAGCATGTGGCGGAGATGACTCAACGAATGAGGACTAAGCTTTCATATTTTATTATTTTATTAAACTTACGGCCACTTTTTTATAAAGAACAATATTCGTCGGGGCACAAACAATTTGTAAAAAAATTACGGGAAGACTGACTAAACGATATAACGTTGAGAATTGAAACCGAATGGGGGTAACCGGAATCTCAATTTAAATCGTAGACAAATCTGACGGAATTCTCAAGGCAAGACCTAATGTTACTATTTCGGACTAATCACTATTATTTTTTTCCACCAGCTGCCCAGAATTTCGACCACCGCGAGTCCTGTAATAATAATTTCGAGGACGATGCTTAGCGATGCTTTTAGTAGAAGCTTATCCTGCACTTTCTAGATAAAAAAAAGAAAATAAAATACATATATTTTTACGCTTTTCGGGGTTTTATCACAAAGAAACCGGACAACATTAGCGAAACAAATAAAATTGAGGTATAAGGCCTTTTCTCCAACTCTTTCCCCAAACAGCAAAAATTACAAGTCACTTTGAATCCCCAGCCTACTCGATTGTGGAAATAGAATATTTTTTTTTAGAAGATTAAAGTGTTGGAAAATTAAGTGGCTTACTAAATGTGTAAGAGAGCTACACTATATGTACCCAGAGGATTTTAATTAAAAGTGTAAGAAGTATATATACTACTAGTAGTTGTGCTAGCCATATCTTTTTCCCTTTAAGTCTTTGTATTTCAAAGATATCAAAGTGGAACGAATGACTTTCTTTTATTTTAAAGTTTCCAACTTTTTTGTTAGCCTCCTAATACTTTTTAAAAACCTTTATCGATAAATAAAATACAATTTTCAGCTTTGCTTTTTCTTTCAAAGAAATAGTGTAAATATTCAGCTCAGTCGCCTTAAGCTCTTAAACTACAAATTTCAATATATTCGGTTTTAGACAACGTATCCAATCAAATTCTTTGTAAATAAAATTAAACTATAAAATTATAATTATGTCTGGAGGTGGAAGTGCTATAAATATTTTCAGATTCTTTGGCAAGAATCTGATTTCTTGCGGAGATTTTGTAGAAAAACAAAGAAAAGATATATTTGGCGAGGGATTATTATTGAAAACCATGAATATTTGGTGGACTCGTAAGTGAAAATTAATAAAAAGAAAATTTATGAATTGAAGGATTTTTTGTACGCAGAGTGGCCGGAAGTAATAAAGCCGCCATCTTCAACCGGAAAACGAGTTTGGTATTTAATGCGGAAGCCGTTAATAGATTGGCTGGCTCTGCCGAAAATTTGGTTGTGGAATTCCAGGAGCTCTTTGAAATTTTAAAAGTTATCCTCGCCGCTCCTCCACTTCATAGGCCATCTCAATCATTATTAAGTTTTATGTTAAAATTAGGTTTTTAAAAGAAAATTATCTTTGGAAGTGGCGCCATCTGGAGTCTAACCATGCAAGCTTTCACGAAAAATTATAACGTAAGATGGCGCTTAAAACGCTAACGACTTTACATATTTTTTAGTCTAATTAAATAGTGATTTAAACTAGATTAGTTTATTATAAGTTTAAAATTGATTATAACGCGAACATTTTACTATTTTTAAGATTCTTTTTTAGTTAGAAACAATAAACGGTTGGTATTTTCGGCAATCGTCCTAACTGGTCACACTGCAAAGCTAAAATAACGACCACCAAATATTTTAAAAAATATTGTATTGATATTCCAAATACTTCATCTAAACAGAAATATTTAATTACCATAAAATATTAATTTATTTAATAATTTTGTTAACTATTTTTCACTTAGTTTGTATATCAAAGACACAAACCGTAGACCTCTTGAGAAACTATCGTATTTTCGATATATTTGCATCCTTTTCATACAAAGAATATCGATATATTGATATTTTGATATATTATCAACAACCCTAGAATTAATTATTGAGAAATTCGCTGCCCGGAGAAGAACGCAACGAATCGAGTGCATGCTGTTCCCATGCTGATCCACACCGGCAACAGTTGAGGACCGTCCGACAGATGCCCAGCGGTGGACACCGCGCATCCCGTGCATCCGGATATCGTCAGTGGAATCCAATCCTCCTCCGCCTTCGCCGTCGTCGTCGCCAGCGTCTCCGTCTCCTTCACCTCCACCTCCAATTCCCGCTCCTCGATAGCCCCGCTATTCCACCGTTCCGCCCCCACGTCTTGGCCGCCCTCCTCCGTCCTCTGCGCAGCGAATATATCAATCTTTTTTTTCCATCGCCATTCGCCCGCCGCTGCCACCAGCATATCACCGCCGTCGCTGCTGGTCGATACAGAACCACGCCATCATCCACCTACCACCTACCAACAGTTCCTTGTCTCCTTGGCCGCTCAACTTGTCCACAAGCCGTTCTTAGGAAAGGAGGAACGCAGAAGGGTCGCCGGATTGGGAGAGCGGAGGCAGCTGCCGCCAGGAGATGGCCACCGCATCGCTGGACGCTCTGCAGGCAACCTACGTTGACTTTAACGAGATAAGATTCGAAGAGGTGCGCATTCAAGGGGTCGTCTTGAGGGTCTGGTTAGGTGCTGGGCCCTAGGCCAGACTTAGTTGCCTGCTAATGCCTGTAATATAGTTTACAAACTAAAATTCTTAGACTTAAGGGCTTTTTAAGATCATTTCTATCTTTTTAAATCCAACATAACTTAAATTGTGAAGATTAGATGCCTTTCGGTTTAATTTCTCATAGATATTGTTCCTAATTATTATCCTATTATTTAAAATTACTAGAAAAATACTACCTTTCCCAGCAAGACAGACCTCCTAGGAACCTTCATAATACAAATATTTCTTACCTCCTATACCTTTCACACACAGAAAGTCGGTCATGGGTCCTACGGAGTCGTCTGCAAGGCTATCTGGCGAGACAAGCTGGTGGCAGTCAAGGAGTTCTTCGCCAGCGCCGAGCAAAAGGACATCGAAAAGGAGGTGAAGCAGCTGTCGCGGGTCAAGCACGTCAACATCATTGCCCTGCACGGCATCTCCTCTTACCAGCAGTCCACCTATTTGATAATGGAGTATGCCGAGGGCGGATCACTGCACAATTTCCTGCACGGGAAGGTGAAGCCGGCCTACTCGCTGGCGCATGCCATGAGCTGGGCGCGTCAGTGTGCCGAGGTGGGCTTATATATTAACACCATTCCGTGTCCGATTTATTCATATTTTCTCTTGACTTTTCTAGGGACTGGCCTATTTGCATGCCATGACACCAAAGCCGCTGATCCATCGTGATGTTAAGCCACTGAATCTTCTGCTCACCAACAAGGGACGAAACCTGAAGATCTGTGACTTTGGCACCGTCGCCGACAAGTCCACCATGATGACGAACAATCGTGGAAGTGCTGCCTGGATGGCACCAGAGGTTTGTATCAAAGCTTACACTACAATAGAAAGCTAGTACATCCTATATTTCAGGTCTTTGAAGGATCGAAGTACACTGAGAAGTGCGACATTTTCAGCTGGGCGATCGTACTGTGGGAGGTTCTGTCCCGAAAGCAGCCCTTCAAGGGCATCGACAACGCCTACACCATTCAGTGGAAAATCTACAAGGGTATGACTTGCTGATAGTTACTTTTTTATCTGTCTATTATATATATATATATATTTTTGTATTGTTACTAAATAGGTGAACGGCCGCCCTTGCTGACCACCTGCCCCAAACGCATCGAGAACCTGATGACAGCCTGTTGGAAGACAGCGCCCGAGGACCGGCCTTCGATGCAGTACATCGTGGGCGTCATGCACGAGATCGTCAAGGACTATACGGGGGCGGAGAAGCCCTTGGAGTACACGTTTGTTAATCAACAGGTGAGTGTGACTTGGGTGTTTGTGTTTTCTTGAGTGTTTTAGTGGATTTTATTTACCTTTTTTGAAAGAAACTTTAATTGTAATCAAAATTGTTTACTAAATTTTTTTACATATTTTTAGTCTTGTTTGAATATATAATTTAAAGTTTAGAGGCATTTAGGTTTCTTTTTGAGGCTGATTCTTATTCTTATTAAAACTCTTATATGTATTATGTTCTCTAACAAAATGTTTATCCATTAAAATATATACATATATATCTTAGGGATATTATTTATTTATTTGTTTCCTTAATGTATATATCCTCACATGGCTACTATATAACCTTTAACATTCCCCTTATCCTCTAAAACTGACCCTTTTAGCAGTCCCACGTTAACCATTTTTTTCTACAAAATTATTTCTATCTGTATATTAAAAAAAATAATTTCTTCTCAAAATATGATGGTTCCTATGCAATTGTTTAATATTTTAGATTGAAATTAAAGGTATTTATAAAATTAAGTTGAATGAAATTTAAAAAGAAAATAAAAGTGTTCTATAATTTCTAGAAAGTTTTAAGGGATCATAATAGATTGAATAATTTAATATAAAAATATATAGTATACGTACATATATATACAATTTTAGGGTGTAAATAAAAAAAATAATAGCTTGGTTAGACTTGAAAACTAGTCTTCCTGGTTTGGATTATAATTTAAAGATTATATTTTATACAAATACTCATATTTACATATATATTTATTTAAAACATTTCTCCTTAACAAGAACTATAACATTCATTATTTTGGAATTATAAATCAAAATGATTCGGGAATATTAAAATTTATTTTATTTATTCTTCAACCTGCTAAAAAATGGTGTATAAAGTTACAGGCTAAAAAAGAATTGTACGATTGAGAGAATTTCAGAATTTTTTAATTTCTCACATTTTTTCTTGTTTTTAAATCAAAATCCAAGATTTAATTTAAGAATTTAATTTGTAATTCTTTAAAATATACTTATGGCTATAATTGGCTTATAATTCAAAAATACTTTTTTTGTACAAGAAAATGTTCTAAACCTAACAAAGCTATATACACATGTTTACTAATGAGTTAAATACTTCTTAAATAGATTTTTAAAACTTCCAGGTAGAATTTAAAACATCAATTTTATTTTTAATCATGTTTTGTTTTTAATTCATTTGAGATAAATTACCTAATTCTGTTTTTAAAATTAAAATACCCCTTGATGAGAGTTTATTATCTCCCTAGAGTTCTCATAATTAATAAAAATTAATTATTATTAATTAATTTAAAAAAAAAACGTACTCAACTTACTTAATTTTATTATTCTATTTTCTTCAGATTGTCACCAAAGATAGCGACGGCACGGTGGCCGCCCAGCCGGACAGCCTCAGTTCGCTGGAGGAGGACGACGAACTGAGTCTGTCCACCACCCAGTTAACACCCACATCGGCGACGAACGCCAATGTGAACGCGAAAGCAATAGCAGGCATCGGAACTGCAACAACGACGACAACTAGCTCAATGACCGAAAATACCTCATCAACAACATCATCGGACGTCACGCCGACCAATTCGGGCCACCTTGACAATAATCCACCGGTATTCTATATGAGCAGCAATCGCTGGGACGCCATTCCCGAGGAGGAGAGCAACGAGAGTCGGAACGATAGCTTCAATCTCACCTCCTCGGCCGAGGCCACCCAGCGGCTGGAGACGATCCGGAACGGTATGATCCGTATGGCACACACACCGCTACCGGAACTCTCACTCGACGTAATGGAGGTTAGTCTTTTTATTTATCTCGATGGCTTCTATATTATTGATGTCCTCTGTATCCTTGATAGAATGGCTTCGATCTGAGTCGCAGCGAAAGCAGCAGCAGCAGTACACATGGTGAGTTATTTCGATCTAATTTTTATATTTAATTTAATGCCACTTTTTTTTGTTAACAAAAGAATATATGAAACTGGTCTCTTTTATTTGATTTTGTCATTAAACACTCTTGGATCTTCGAGAAAATAATTATACAATATTTTATATTTAAAAAAAACTTAGGACTTAGCTGAGTTCGCCGAGGTCTAGTTAGGAGATTTAGGGGCATCTGTATAGTCTACATATTTATGAATATACAGGTAGTAGTGATCGTGTTTCCCTCAACTTGGGTCCTGAATGATACTGAAATTTCAGAAATTCCATTTATAAATTAACAAAAATTTATAATTTTATCGGAAAATTTATTTAATATTTGAATATTTATAGGATTACATTTCGAATCTCAAGAATAAATATTTTTGTATATTTGTATATTCAGTATATTTTCTAATAATCTTTCATTTTCCAAAGTTAATTGAAAAACCGCTGTTGATTTTAGTTCTTTCTTCGAATTAATACTTTTATAAGATTATCTTTGGAGTAAGAAGTTGGATTTCTTGGAGGATGTCACCATAGTGCCGTGGATATTGATCTGGAAGAGCTGAGAAATACGATATTTAATTTTGAAAATAGTTTTATTCTACCGATTTTACCTTTGGCTTCTGTTTTCGGCTTTGTCTGATTATAAAAATGGGGCAGTGGAGTTGCTAGGACTTCTTCAGTAGTTACCTCCACTTTCTGTGTTTAATTTTATAGCGAATTTCCATTCAATATTATTTTTACCAACTTGGCCAAAAGCTTCGCTAATTGATCCAGCTTGATCTTTTAGTAGCCTTCCTAATTTCCTTATTTTGTTGATTTAGAATCTAAAACGTGGACTGTGGAATTTGAATTTTTGAGTACAAGGATACATACTCCTCTCCTTTGCCAAAGTTCTACAGGACTCTTTTGCGACTGATCCTGAAATATCTGAAATTTTAAATGTTGTAGTGTTTTCCGACCTTTTCAAGCTTTTTCCAGTGAAAACTATAATTTTTGGATTAATTTTTACATATTTTATTTGGCAATTTTATTCGAAATAGTACGAGTATCGTCTTTTTTTTATTTTTAAAATAAAATATTTACATTTTAGTGCATATTTATAATCTATATATTTTCTGAAAATTTTTCCTTGTCCAAAGTCCGTTTTAAAAGGCGGGTTGTTTCTTCAATTTGTTCTTCGGATCAAAATTCTTATTCGTCCATTTGTACTTGTGAACAATCTATCCAGCAATGAAGAAATATAATTAAAAGAAGAAAGGAAAGCTAATTTCGGGCGGAGCCGAAGTTGATATACCCTTGCAGTTAAAACCGGATATACATACATATATCGCAAACATCGGATGTAATCGGATATTATAACATAATAATACACACCTGGTATCACTCATACTAGGATCGAACCACCAGCCAAAGCCGCCCTCCTTCGCCAAATTCCGATCAGGAACTCCATCCTCATCCCGATCGAAGGTGGAAAATTTGGAGCCCTGCTTAAGGCTTAACCACGAGTTGTGAATTCCAGTACAATTGCCAATATTTTTTAGCATATATCCTTCGCTTTGGTTGCCCAAAACAATGTTGTCGCATCTTTTACCGACTATTCCTTTGGTATTTATAATCATATCAAAAGGCTTTCCATTCGATAGAAGGTGCCATCGTTTGAGGCCAATAAAGTGCTCATCTCCCCACCTCGTGCCGACATCTCCAAATCCACGTTCATAATCCTCAAACGAGCGATTAAATTTTTGTGAGTGGCCATATCTACCATAAAAAACCACCCAGCCAGGTCCAATATCCGTATATGAACAACAAACCACTTTAAACGGGTCTGAGCCTGGAAGTTGGATTTCGTGAAGGACTTTGTATTCCGTTTGGTTTCGTGGACAAGGATCTGGAAGATCTGAAAAAAGTCGATGTTTTATTTTTCAAATGACTGGATTCTGCTAACTTACCTATGATTTCTGTTTTCGGTGTAATCGGATTACTAATACTAGGCAGTGGAGTTGTAGGGACCCCTCCAGTATTTACTTTTGTTTTATTTACAGTATTATCAGTATTTACAGTATTTGCTCCATTCTTTACTATTTCTCCCAACTTATCGATGTTTTCGCGGAACTGATTTGTCAACGTTGCAAGTTCATTTGTTTTCTTTAGGTCACTAATTTGATTTTTTAGCAGGTCGATTTCCCCATTTTTTTGATTAATCATCTGCTCATATTTGACTTCACTATCTTTAAGTTTATTTAGCACTTCCGAATGCCTTCTCTCCAAGTCCGAATGATCCGTTTTGAACTTTAATATCTCAGAATTTTTTTTCTGACCCTCGTCCTGCAACTCGAAATGCCTTCTGACCAAGTCCGAATAATCTTGTTGGCATTTTGATATCTGGTCATATTTTTCCAGTCCCAACTCGGAATATCGTTTCTGAAGTTCCGAGTAGTCTGTCTTGCACTTTAGGAGCTGCACATCTTTCTCGTTACTTTTCTCAAAATATCGAAGTAGTGGCTTGACGATAGGATAGCACACGGAAGCACACTGGTCCTCTTGCTCCTCCGAGAGATAGCAGGACTGTGGATATTTAATTTCAATTAATTTTTAAAATAAAGAAACACTCAAAACGGCTATTACTTCTTCAGATCCCAGGGAGGCAGAAATTAGGAAACACGCAGAAATAAGGACCACTGGGAAGATCATCTTGTATTATTTTGATTGAAAGAAACTTGCTTCTAAAGAAATCACTAGAAATATTTCAACTGATGCTGCGAGTCTTGAAGATCCGGCTTTTTAAAGCCATCCCCGGCCTTGAGCTTTAGAGTTTCTGATAAGGAATTGGCGAATACCCACACATATAGAGAACCCCAAAAATATTCCACAAAGAGAAAGCGTCCGGATGGAAAGTCAAAGGTTATTAGAGATTAGCGATAATCGAACAGCAACAAGAAGTTTATTATTATATTTTTAATTATAATAATATTTTTTTCTCTTGCCCCAAATGAAAAGTATTTCTTAGGTGATTTCAATGACAAAGTAGTCTTCTTATCTCCCATTTTAACGATTGAAATATGCTGTTTAAACCCAAGCTTGCAAAAATTGTTTCCAAAAAATCGATCGTATCGTATTTTTTAAAAATTTTGTTAGTTAACTAGTTAACTTTTTTGTTTTATATTATATTGTGTTATTTAAATATATTTGGTTTCTGTATATTTTAGGCCCATAGTTCTTTATACAAAATGTACACAATTATTCATGAAATATTTTACTTTAATATTAAATGTGTTTCAAATTATTCCAATAAATAGGTAATATTAGTATAATATTTGTAGATTAATATTTTTTAATAAAACAACTAATTAAATTTTTCATATAAGATATAAATCTTGTTTAATATACATTTGAATGTAAAAAATCCCTAACTAAAAAAAAGCAGAATCCTTATATTTATATACCTCTAACAGGGTATATCCTAGTCGACTATAGTCTACTTCTTTTATATATAACATATAGAGCACTCTTACTTGACGCATTGTGTCATCTTCTGTGGCACGACAGCTGTTGGCTCTTTGGCCTTTTTTTCCGCCGTTTTCGCCGTCTTAACCATTTGGCTCTCGGCCCGCTCGTCGTCGTCTCAGCCACAAAGGTGACGCATTTTGTTGTGTGTAAACAATGCTAGTGCCGTCTCTTTCCTGGGCAGCATAGCCCATCTCTGTCTAGCTGGGGGACTGCACTGCACTGTACTCAATGTTTTGTTAATTAGCCAACGCGGTGTTTTCATATAGTGTATAGTTTTCTCTACAATATATAATGCATAATGCACTAGGAATCTTTTTGAACATTATTCAATTGTCAATGTCTCTGGCGGTGCGGCTGCATAAATTATAAATATTTAGTGCGCTCATTCGGATCAGCGGACATTTAGCTGCGATCCTTCAGTCTTCGACTTGGGTATAAATAGTTTGGGATAGAGGTTAGCAGATGGCATATTTAAACCCTGGTTCTTGGGGCACAAAATAACGTTTCAGTTTTTTCGATGGTTTCCATATTTTTTTTATTTTTTTATTAAATATTCGTATCAAAAATATATTTTTTTAAAATTTAAGCTCTAAAAAAATATATATGAGAGTATATCTATTTTTTTACACATATATTTTACTTTAAAAATTTTAAATTAATCCTTAAGAATCCTTAATCCCTATTTAAGATCTTTTTTCAAAAGTTTAGCTTCAATTCAAAATTATTTTAAGCTTAAACAATGTCTTTTTTAAATACTCAACAATTATTATATATTTTGAGATTTATTAAATTTATAGATAAACATATTAGTATAACTTAAAATGGAATTAAAGTACATATAACTTTAACCTAAACATAGACTATCAAAAAATTAGTTTTTTTTTTAATTTTAAATTAGTCTCCATAATTTTATTTCTTAAACCATTTAAATATTGTTACTCATATTGAGATTATTGATATGCACCAAACGAAACGAAAAAAAAAATAAACTGCTCCTAATGAGTCATCAGAATTGTTTTTCTTTCAATAACTATATCATATTTCCTAAGAGCTGGAACTTGTATAACAAAAATATGAATTTAATATATAGATGAAAATTAAAAATTGTTTATAAAAAATTAATTGGGAGTCGAATACAAGACTTAACCTTTACTGATAGTTCTGGTAAACTTTTTTCAAGTAATTTAATTTCCATTTTTTAAAAAGTCAACATGAAAACGATTTAGACGATAATTAATTCTATATTTTTATAAATAATTATTTAAATTATTATTTAATTAAGTAAAGTAATAATTTAATAAAATAAAATGGGGTTCTTTTCAGAATCAAAGATCTCACATCAAAGACATCCCTCATATTTGTTGACCCTCTATGACCTAATGACCTAATATACCCCCTTCAAAGCGGCTTAATTTTCCCAGGGTATCAGCGCCAAATAGTTGCACAAAATTTCGCTGCACAATTAAATAATTTGTAATTTGTTAGCTAGCCTGGCAATTTCGGGACAGATTTATAGCCAAAGGCATGCTCCGTCGCTGCTGCCTTCTAGAGCATAAACAACAACAACACCTCTCTTTAAAAAAAAAGGGGGGTCTGGTTGAAAGACAAAAAAAAAAAAGAAAAAGGAGACGGGGGGAAAGCACACATGACGATGCCGAGATGCCTCTGACCAAAAAAACATGACTCACCCGGCAATAATCTCACTTTTATTTTGATTTCGTCTCTCAAATACACAAACAAAATAATACACACTGTGTGTATAATATATGTAGAGATCAGAGATATATATCTTTATATAGATACATGTACGAAAAACGATTTGTATATTTAGTGGGAGAAGTCGAGTGGTAAAATCTGATTTGACTTTTCGGGTTGTCAGAGACTTACAGAGACATAGCCCCCTCCGATCACCACCTCCCCTACTATATTCTATATACCATAAACTATATCTTCTGTATAATATATAGACTATTTAGTGGTAATATATATTATAGATCTTGTAGTACTCTTTTGAAAAATGTGTAAAATAGTAAATGCATCAACAATCAACTAGCGATTTAAATATATTTGGTTTTCTTGTTTTTCTGTTTGAACACCCCTTAGTATACCCCTTAGATTTTTCCGATCCGATCTGCGAGATTTCCCAATTGCAAAAAAATGCCAAATGGATTAATCATCGATTTTTCGATCAATGTTCATCGCATCGCATCGCCTCGCAATGAGTTTCAATTTGAATTTGAATGATTCTTCCCGCAATTGGCTGTTGGTTCGTCATGGAGCTGGGTGGGTGGTTGTATAAAAACCCTATATATCTATACATATATCTATATCCGTATATATATTTGTATCTCTATGGGGAAATCTCCATGGAAAGTGTTCCCTTGAAAGGTCTTTAGAGGGTGACTAATAGTCAGTGTTCTTTGCCGCTTTTTCTGTTCATCATTTTCCGGGAAACCATTCCATTTCAAAGGTGTTGCTAAAATAGGTGTCTCCTCTAAATTATGGCCATTAAATGATTTATTTATTTATTTTTTAATTTGATCAGATTCTGCGAATTTTTATAAGATACTCTTTTAAGAGTTACTGGGTGTTTTAAATCGCTTGTGAAAATATTTCCTATTCTTATTTTTTTTGATGGATTTTATCAATTTTAACATTTTTCAAATATTCTAAAACAAAATGTAGTATTTTTAAGTTATCTTAAAGCTAGAAATTATTTAAAAAAAAACTTCTTTTTCTTTTAATTATCCTAATTTTAATACTTAGTTTATTTTATTGTTTTTGTAAATAAACTATTCCTAATATTTAATATTAAAATTTCTGTTTATTTTTCCTGTTATTTAAACGTTTTTAAATATTTGTTATGTGTGGAATGGAATTATGAAATATTAGTTATTTTACAACTCCTGTTTTAATTTAAATTTAAATTACCAGATTCTTAATATTTCGTTTTTTTAAGGCCAACAAATTTATTTTTTTGATATTAGCCAAAAGACAAAGAAACCACTTTACCCACAAAGCCATGACCAAAAAGAAAAATCTGTTGGGCGTTTTCCGCCCCGCCGGCACTGGGAATGATGCCACAGATTTTTTGGCCGCGTCATCAGGTGCTTCCCTGCTACCCCATCTCCTCCTGCCCCCTTTTTTGCTGCCCCCTTCTTGGGCCTGCAGCCCCCTGCCAAACCCTCGAATAGACCATTCGATCTTGCCACGTCTGCGAGGCATTTAGAAGGCAATCCCCGGCGAGAGTTTGTTTGCTTTTTGGCGGCGGATGCTAGATGCTAGATGCGATGTGTGGATATGGATTTGTGGCTCTACAACAGATGTGTGTCTATGTGGGGGCCACTACCAGTATGACTGTGTGTGGCTGGGGAATCGGGGAATCGCCTCGCCATCCCCGATGGGCGAGTCAGTCTGCCTCCGAGAGCCGTGCGTTATTGAGTTTCTCACCGAAATGTTCCGGACGGAATCTGGGCGGACGGATGCTACCAACGCGACACTTCAACAGACACTCTTATCTCTAATATATCCTTAAATCAAAATTATTATTTTCTAGTTTTGTTTTTTGGGTTTTCGCTATCTAAGAAAAGTTAAGAAAAATAAAAGTGAAAAATCAGCAATCAAATTGCAAAAACACGTCATCCCACAAAAGAAAAACATCAGGAAAATTCGGAGAGTGATATTCCCCCCTAAAAACCTAAAAACAATGTGAAGGATTTTCGTTTCTCTCGGTGTTCGTGAAAGGCATTTAATGCTCTCCCTTGATTCGCTAACAAAAAAAAAAAAATGATCTAGCCAGTGGTGGTGTCTGGCAATCCTAAAAAACAAATCCAATTCAATTGAATTCAAGTCTAGACATTGTAGTTCGATCCGGCAATCGAACCAAGTTCTTTGAGAAAATGTGCGATACCAGGGCCCTGATTAACACTAAACAGACCAACGATCTGCACAGTTGTTGGATCATATATAGTAGGTTTTAATATTTAGTCTGTATTTTATTTTTATAACGATATAGTTTCAAAGTAATATTAAATATTAGTTCAAAGAAGTGTTCAATATTACTTTTATACTATTCAATCAATCCTTTAAACTATTTTATTTATGGCCTTTAGATCAAGTTTTAAAAAAGATGTATATTTTATTAAAATAATTATAGAATTAAAAAGCAATTTAAGGGTATTAAAATTTATATGAAACCCTTCTCCTATACCGTTCTTTAAAATGCATTAAAATAGCTTCTTACTTGACTTTTTTTTAAACAATATACGAATATTTTGAATCCAAAATAATATTAATTACGGTTTAACTAATTTTATAATATTAATCACTATTTGAATAAACTATAAAATAATTACTATTTGAATAAACCAGAAATTAAAAACTAAAATTCATACAAAAGAGACAATAAGGTTTTTTTTTAAATCAAAGATTTGTATTGTATTTCTTTAATATTTTATTTCAATTTATTTCTTTATACATTTAAGAAGTTTAATCAACGAGAATCTGAATCTATTTAAATGTTTTTTTTTTTTTAATTTTTCTATAGTTTAATTTAAAACTTTTCCCTTATTTCAATAAAAATAGAACAATTTTTGTGTGAAAGTGAAAAGTGTGTGATTTTTCGGGAATTTCGAAAACCAAATTGTTTGGATTAGTTGGCAAAAAAAAATTCCACATTTTATGTGGAACTAATTTAGGCACACACTTGGGATCCTGAAATAGGCGGGCTTCTTGTAAATATTTGTTTTCTGGATTTAAAAAATACAAACATTTACAGCTAAGAGATTCTCTTAATTTTTAGTATAATTTAAAGTTTAACCAGAAGAGTTTTAATAGAGGGCACATTTTATTTTGCAGCTAAGAGCGATGGACGCGAAAGACTCACGGTGACGGACACCAAGCCGGTCATCATGACCACTACGGATCTAACCAACAACAACAACAACATCAACAATAATGTCAGCCATCTAAACAACGGCCTACTGAGTCATGCCGAGGATGTGCATCAGGATCAGCATCAGGATGCGATTATCAATTCACTGGACGTATCTGGGTCCGATGCGGACGAGGACGAGAACGACGGAACTGCCCAGTCGCTGGCGGAGATCCTCGACCCGGAACTACAGCCCGAACCACCGATACCAAATAATCCCGAGTCTCAGACCATATACCGGGAGCATCGGCACATGGCCAAGGAGTACCTGAGCGTCGACACCAATCTGTACTATGCGCAGGACTTTAAGGAGAAGCTCATCGTACAGATGGATCGAGCCGAGCGGGAGCAGAAGCAGGAGCTGCTGCGCAAAATTAATCATAAGGTGAGAACTGGTCTGAGGAAAGGAATGGGAAAGGGGTAACACCTAGTACTGGAGCTACTACTCTAGGGAGGTTTTTTGTTCAATTTGGAGTTATTTTTTTTAGACGAGTATTCTAGTTTTTAGATGTGATATCCGGTACTTATCCGGCCTATTTTGGTTAAGTAAGGCTACTTGATAGTTAAATTTTTTTATTTTAATCCTAAAGGTCTTTCTTTAGAATCTTAGAATCTTATCCCTGATATCCCAGTGATACCCGGTACTTATTCTGCCAATTTAAGCATTCAAATATTATAATTGTATGTTTTTATTTCAAATTTAAAGGTTCTTTCTTCGACGTTATATTTCAAATTTATTAAACCTATACAAATTGTAGAATTCTTAGAAAAGGTTAAAGATTTTTTTTTGGGATAGGAACCCAGTTTTATTTCCTTTGCCCTTTTAATACCCATGCAGAGGGTATGTCCTATACCTATTTTTATACCCTATATCCTTGTTAGCTTACCTTTCTTGTTATAGCTTCGATTTGGATCAACTTCAAGCTATCAACTTCATAGTATCCTTTAAAATTGTACTATAAATACAAAATTCCAAGAAAATATATAATTAAATTATTAATTAAAAAATATTTTACAGGAGGACCTGCAAAGTCTCTTCAATAACCTGCAACAGCAGTGGCAGAAGCTGCCCGCCGCCCAGCAACTCCAGCACGGCCATCATCCGCATCCGCACCCCCACCAACCGGGACATCCACTTCCGGCCCCTAACCCACATGCTCCCCATCAGCTTCAGCATCCGCATCCGCATCCCCACCAGCCACAGCCGACGCACTTGCATCTACATCCTCATCCGCATTCGCATCCGCATCAGCATCAGCAACCACACCAGCTGGAGGAGAGCGTCGGTGGAGCGGTGTTAGGGGGCACAACCGATTCGGTGGAGAACGATGGATGGGTGGTGATCCAGCCCCACTCCAATGCGTAGTGGTTGGCGTTATCTTGGCTGGATTTTAGGCTGTAGGATCTTGAAAACTTTAATCTGTAGTCCGTATATCCTAAAATGTAATCCTCTGTAATCCGTAATGTGTTATCCATAAATTTATAATTCTATCTTTAGACATATATTATAAACAGCACTCTCTACGTTTTTTTTTTCTTTAATTTTAAATTTTTCTTCAGCGATTATTCGTTTTAAGCAAAAAAAAAAAAAGCAAACAAAAAACATTAAATTTTTCGCTCTTTTTGTGTATTTAAGTTTAAAAGTTTTCGTCCGAGTGTTTCTTCTGTTTTATCACAAATAAGTTAACTTTAAAGATAACTACAATTTAGGCTTTAGAAACTGTACTATATGTATTAATTAAAAATCGCATATAATCTATATATTATCTGTCCGAGGAAGCTGACAAGGAGTAGACCAAAAAAATATAAAAACCATCGAAAGCAACGATTTTCATTTATTGTCCTTTTCTTTCCTTTTTTTTCGTAAAAAAATAATCATTTTGTGGTTGCTAAAAAAAAAATACAGAAATAAACTGCCACTGATAATTTGCATTCAAAAAGTTAAAAAATTGTTTGATGAATAAACTGCCATTGATTGAAAACTATATGCTTTTGAATGTTTCTAGAATCTAGATATATCTAGAATAGATATATTCTAGAATATTTAAGAAGTTTGGTAACACTACTTCTAAACCTTGGTCTTTGAATAACAGATCTCTTAATTTTAAAAGCTTATAGTCGCTTGGAGTAATAATTTTTGGAGATACTACCCAAATAAGTAGTATATTAAATCTATAGTCTATAGAAAATCCATTTTAAATAAGCCTCTAATACCCCTAATAATACGGAAACCCCAACTAAAACTTTATATTTCAGTTTCTTATGAGATGTAGTTTTAGAGATTAGTTCCACGTGGAAAAATTTCAACAGACACACGGACATACGGACAAAATCGTAGATCTTTAGTCCATACGAACCTAAATAAGCATTCTAAATGGGGAAAAATTAAACCTTTAAATTTCAGTCCTTAATTTAAATTGTTTGGGGCTTTGTTTTATTAAAAAATACATTTTTTTAAAGTACTCTACTATACTCTACTTTTTTTCAAAACCAAGTACTCTACTATGAGAACACACAACTTCGAAATAATAATAAACTAATAGTTTAAAGGAGTATGTGATCTTTAAAATCATCTATGAATATTTCTAAATTATATTATTAATCTATAAATATTTTATAATCTATAAAAACAACTTGAAGGAAAAACGCCCAATTTTTCGAAAACTATCCTCCAAAATTATAATAGTTATTATTTTTTTTATAAAACCTTTATCTTTTGAATTATTATATTAAAGGAAAGCACCTTTTTCCCAAAAGTTCGATGGAAATTTTAATATATTTTTTTTAAATATCAGAAATATTAAATTTTATAATAACCTTGTTTCTGAACTAAATGTTTTCCACTACAATTCCCAACTGGTAACAGCAATTAAAAATCAGTTGCTAATTCAGACCAACAATACTTCGATTTTGTAAAATTTATTTAATTAAAATACACATTTCGATCTATTTAACTTCTAGAGGTAAGTTTTTATTCTAAAACAGTTTGTGGCCGTGCTTGGCACATTTATTTCGTATTCACTGTACAGTCGTCCAACACGTAATCTCTCTTGTAGGCTACACTAGAAAATGATTTTTAAAAATATTTCTAATCGTCTTCCTATAGTTACACTTACACACACGCACGATCAAAAATCGATCGGGGTGTTTCAATTTTTTCGATAATAAAAGATGAGAATCGATAAATTCGATAGTTGATAGTTGAAGAGAGAGATACATGGTAGTGGAGAGAGACGGAGTTCAGAACAAAGACCCCGTCCCCTACGAGTTATTACATATGGGAACATAGATGGTGGCACAGGTAGACTCCCAGACGTCGTTGGGGGTGTCCCAGGAGTCCTTGCGGTGCCACCAGGTCTTGCTATCGAGATCGTACGCCATGGTCTCGGAGCTGGCCCGGTCTATCGATTCGGTGGAGTCCAGGCCGCCCACAAAGAATATGGTGCGTCGCATCACAGTAACGCCGGAATAGAATTTCGGTGCCGGTATTTGGGTCTCCCGGCTCCAGACATTCGTCTCAATGTCATACGCATAGATGTGCTGGACAAGGACCCGGGACTCGGTCACACTTTCGCGCCAACCGCCGCAGGCATAGATCCGATTATCGATCGCCACCAGGACGTGATCACAGCAGGGTGTCGGCATCGATGCTAGCTGATGCCAGGTCTCGGTTGTGGTGTCCAAACACCACATGCTGTCCAGGATGTTCGCCAGGTAGATGCCACCCGATATATAGAGTTTTTTACCGACAACAACGCCAGCGTGCTGGCTGCGATTCTCCTGCAACCTGGGCATGAAGGTCCATGAATTTTGTGTAATATCGTAGCGTTCCACATTCGAGATTCGGCGCATTGTCTCCTCGGAGAAATCATCGTGCTCCATAATCCCGCCCACGGCATACAGATGCTTTTTGCCCACCGCATTCAATGAGAAACGGCAGCGATCCACTTGGATGGGCGCTATGGATACCCAGGCATCTCTCAGAGGGCAATAGCAGAAGCCAAAGGGATGGATGTACTCCTTGAGGCACACATCATAGGATCCGCCCACGATATAGAGTTCATTGTTTAGTACTGCCGTTCCGAAGTTGCCTAATAATTGAAAGATGACTAAATTTTAGACAATAGTGCAAGTTCTTATACGTTTTTTTGCTAATTTTAGTTTTAAGCTAACAATTTAGCTGTAGGGTTAGTAAGGCCTTAAATGAACACACACACATAGTTTTAAGAATGAACACCTGAACACCAAATAATCAACTACTTTAAACTAAATGAACACTTATTTTAAATGAATCACTTATTGAAGCTGAAATGAACATTAAAATGACCTCCAAAAGCTAAGTAGTTTTAGGAATGAACACCAAAGAATGAACTACTGATATTTCATTGATAAATGAACTTTCATTTAGAATGAACTACTTGGTGAAGCTGAAATGAACACCAAAAGTAAACTTGTTTAAAGAATGAACACCATTAAATGTACTCCTTTCATAAATGAACACTTATTTTAAATGAATTACTTGGTGAGACCAAAATAAGCTTAAAAATGAACACTATAAGTGAGCTAGCTTGTAGAATGAACGCCAAAGAATGAACTAATTTGATAAATGAACACTTATTTTAAATGAATTTCTGTGTAAAGCTGAAATGAACATCAAAATGAACCCCAAAAGTGAGCTACTTTGATAAATGAACACTTTTTGCGAAGGAATTACTTAGTGAAGCTGAAATTAACATTAGTTTTGATAAATTTATAAAGTAAACATAGATGATTTTTAGATGAATTATTAAAACAAACAATTAATGAATGAATGAATGAATTAAGTTTAATTAAAAAAGGAACCAAACCATATAGAACCCAGAACCTAAAAACTAAACTAGACTTAAGCATAAAATGAAAATTAGCAAAAAAACCAAATGTGAAAATAAAAGGCTTACACTGATCGATGTGCGGTATAGACGTCAGTTCGTACCACTTCATCTTTGAAGGGGAAAAGCACATTATCACATTGGTTAGACCCTTCCACTCGAAGCCTCCGATCTTCAACAGGCTCAGTTCCATGCCCCGCATATTGGTGGGTCCCCGTTCCAGGGCTGCCTGGTCCTCCAGGGACACATCGCTCTTGAGCATAGTGTCCATATACTCTTGCTTGATTCGATTGTACAAGTCAGTCGGCAGCTGCAGGCGCTTTCCCTCCTCCAGCGAGCAGTCGATGTGACGCAGCTCGTTGACGGCTTTGTAGCTGATGTGCGACCAGTTTATGAGACGCAACAGATCCCTCATATCGTTCTCCTCCATCTGCTTATCGAGACAATAGCTGCAGACCAGCCGTACCAATTCCTGTTCAGTTATATCCATGGGATAGTTGCTCGACAGGATGAAGCTCAGCTGATCCTTTTTCATTTCCTTAAAGTCGGACGTGCCGGCAAAGTCCTCGAAATTGGCGCATATGAAGCGATAGGCACGTCGGGAGAGGGCCATCTGTCCATATATATCGGCCATACCAGCAATGGCCAGGCAGCTATCCATCTCGATCTTCTTGTCCAGGAAGCTGGTACAGCGTTCGATCACTTCACGCACCTGAAAGTGTGTGGACGCCGCGAGGATCTCCTCAATGTTGTCGGCATTTAGGTCCAATGACGATGTATATATAAAGTCCAGTATGGCGCTCATGGCGCGGGCAGTGATGCCATAGAGATTGATCTCCTCCTGGCGTGATTCGATCATGGCACAGTCGGCGAACATGGCGCAGAAGTAGTCACTGCTGGCAGCCAAAACAACGCGATGGGCCTGCAAGAGATGAATATTTGAGATTGAGATTTACAGAGTCTTTTATAAGAAATAGAGAGGCTAATATTAATATTAAAATATTAAAACCTTATAGATTAATACATACATACATAGATACATACATATAAATTTTGTATATCCTTATATTTTTTTATATATGTACATATAAATTTTCATATCCATATAAATTTTTATATCCTTATATTTCTTAATATCCAAATAAATTTTCATATCCTTATATTTTTTAATATCCATATAAATTCTCATATCCTTATATTTTCTAATATACATATAAATTTTCATATCCATATAAATTCTCATATCCTTATATTTTTTAATATACATATAAATTTTCATATCCATATAAATTTTCATATCCTTATTTTTTTAATATACATATACATTTTCATATCCATATAAATTTCCATATCCTTATATTTTTTAATATATGTACATATAAATTTTCATATCCATATATTTGTTCATTTTATGCATATTTAAGTTTTGAAAAGACCCTACTTTTAATTAAATTTTTCATAAAAAAACCTCTTTATTTAACACCACATTTTCAAACCTATTATTAGATAATATTATAATTTTATGATTTTTATGATTCATTGGAATTTTACAATTTTTATTGTTTATTTTTTTTCAAAAATAAGTTTCACTATGAATCATACATTCATTCATTCATCTTGAATACCATAAATTTCTGAGAAATTACACAAAAAAAGATTAATATTTAAGGCAGCTTTTAGGGGGATTTTTTGTAATTTTTTTTTAAAGATTTCTGGTTGAAAAGTAAACAAACAAACCGGTTGGTTATTTTTGCATTCTAGGCTAAATAGCCTTCGAAATAAGAGAAAGTATCGCTTAATTAACCCTTTGGATGATAATTCATGATAATTATTTGACACACACGATTTATTTGGCAAAGCTTTAAAGCTATATATATATGTATATATCTAATACATATATATTTTATGTAAATGGGTAAAAAAAAATAGTTGACCACATTTGGCGTAGAAACAATAGGTATTTGTTTTTGTTTTTTTGGCATTTTGAAAGTGAAATTTTTTGTTTGCTTTGTGGCTTTGATAACAGCCTTTATATGGAATATATAATCATATAATATAACACCTAATATAACTTGGGATTCTTTAAGCAAAATTCATTGAAATTAATCTTATTTCCTTATAGATAACCTTATATAAACCTTAACCTTATATTACAACTACATAGACTTTAAACGTTTATAACTCTGTTGTTTCAAAAGGAAATAGCCTGAAACTTGGTATGTGGGTCTTAAATATCCCTACAAACTATCCTAAATAAACTATCCTATTTTGAACCAATAAAAGCCTAATATAACTTGGGATTCTTCAAGCTATATGAATTGAAATTTAGTATGTGGGTAGTTTAAGGTATTAGAACAGGTTAAGAATATGTTTCATAACAGTAGGAAGCCTTAATCTTAAAGATATCGCTATAACTCGGTTGTCTTAAAAGAAAATAGACTGAAACTTGGTATGTGGGTCTTGAATAGCCCTGCAAACTATCTTAAATAGTTTCGGGATCAATACCTTAAACCTATGATCCTCGACGATGAGTGTGACATCGGTGAGCTTCTCCTCGTTCCTTAGTTTGTCGAGTCCCTGTAGAAGATTCTTCTCGCTGACGAGGAAAGTCGCACAAGACGGTGACGGCGATACTTCTGGTGTGGACATGGCCTCCGCCATTGATGATTAGAGTGTTCGGCCGTCTGCGGCGGTGGCGGGGCCCACTAATCTCAATGAGGTTAACCCCTCAAGGTTGGGGAAGCCTGCGGATCGGAGAATCCGCTGATAAGAAAGGCAATTCCAATTCTACAAATCAGACTTGTAGACGCACGCGAGAGATGGCAGTGGTGGTGGCGGTGGGTGTCGGTGGTGGCGTTGACAGAGGAGGCGTGCGATTGCGATTGTGATTGTGATTGTGATTGACTCGAACGTGAAGGGAGGGTGCACGGGGGGGCACTTCTTGTATTGTTTACACTCGTAGCCAGCCGTCGGTTAACTGTTAATCGCCAAAAAGCTTGATTGATTTTAACGCGAGCGCGAAATTCACTCGACGGCCACAAAAACAAAAATACAAGAAAACAAACGTTGCCACAATCTTTTTCTCGAGCGTTTCTCCGTCTCTACTCTTCGTCTTTTCTTTTTTTTGTTATTTGTCGTTTTTGGCCGTTTGACGTTTCTTTTGCGCAAGCACCACTCACACACACACAGCTCCCTCGTACACGCACACAGGTGGGCTGGCGGTCTATGCACGACACGATCGCGTATTCTGTATGATAACTAAACTGATATTTAAATTTGAAAAAAAATACGTGTTGAAAAACCGAAAATGTTGAAAAATGTGTAAAAGTACAAATATATGCAATATGCTATGCTAGCCAGAATGGGAATTTGCAGTAAAGTGAGAAAATCTAACAAAACTCGGACACAGCATAAAAAAGTATTAAATTAAATATTAAAATAACATGTCGTAAGGTGACGCTTTACACTTAAGTTAAGTTTAAGCTTAAGTGTTTCAGTTGGAACTTTTTAAAAGTTCCATCCCTGACATCAATTTTTCAAATTAGTTTTAGCCAAAATTTTAAATAAAATATCAGTTTATTGCATAATTTCTTATAAAGTACCTTATTTTTTATATTTTATTGCATTAATAGTATTTAAATTTTAAAAATTTTCACTTTTGTATGTGGCACAGGGTGACTCGGGCCAAAACTATTGCAACCAAATATCGATTCTTTGAAAAATCGTAAGGCATGAAATGGAAGTGAGCTGCCAAATACAATCAAATTAAAAAATGTATAAACTAAATAACTGATGAAACATACTTTAAATTGAACTTTTAATTTTAAAGTTGTTTTTAAGAAAGCTTGGCTTGCTTGATATTTGTTAGTATCATTTCGATAACGATAAGAGCACAAGTATCGATAGGTGCAATCGCCACTCGCGCACCACTAGGTCGAAAGCGAGATAGAAACAGAGAATCAGAAAAACACAGCGCACACAATTAAAATAAGGTGCCTAATGTTTGGATGTTTGGGCCCCCAATTAGTCGGACGTGTGCGTGGTACATTAACGTAATAAAAATTGCAACCTTAACGCGTTTGGGCCACACAAGTGTCGCGTAATTTTTTTTTTTTTGCTGTGATTCGCGGAGAGCGAAAGGAAAAAAGCGAAAAGTGTAAAAAGGAAGAAAAAAAAAGTGCGTCCCCCCAAAAGGAAACGAAAAGAAACCAACAAAAAAAAAAGCGGTGGCAGGCATTACAAAAATAATAATAAATGATTAAATAATTTGGTTAGTTAATTTTTGTTTACTGCCGCAAGGCGAAAAGCAACAACTACCAAAGTAAAAGCAGCACCAGCAGCAGCAGCGAATAAAAAACGGCGGCGGCGGCAACAAAAAACAACAAAAAAAAAAAGAAAAAACGTGAAAGAAATGGAAATGAAATTAATGGTTTTTTTTTGTTTTTTATTTTATTGGCTATAGTTGTTTTTGTTGTTGTTGCACTTTTCGCACTGTTAGCATTTAAAAATTGTCGCGTTGTTGCCTTTTTTTTTTTTGATTGTTGGATTGTCTTATTTCTGCTTGTCTCTTTTACTCTTTCTTCGCTGCAACCTTTAAGAGTGAACAAGAAGAAGAAGAAGCAGCAGCAATTACGAAAGGCAAAGAAGCTGCAGAGTGTCTTGTGTGTGCGAGTGTGTGTGTGTGTGTAAGAGTGTGTGCGTGCGCGCCACATAAGGAAATTGCCAGCAGCGTCGGGGAACATAAAGAAATAAAAATAAAAGCATAACAAAAAAAAAATACACCCAAAAATAATAAGAATAATCTACAAAAAATAAACAAATATTTAAAAAAAAAAAAAAAGAAATATGTTTTATTTTTTATTAGTGTGGTGCGTTTATTGTTGTTGTTTTTTTTGGTGTGCCTGCCACTGACTCACGTTCGTTGATAAGAAGAAGAATATAGTCCAAGAACAATAATAACAAGAAGGACGGAAGAAGGAAACATAAAAAAGGATTAGCGGAATGTCCTGCAACAAACGAAATTACCCTTCTTATCAGTTTCGCTAAAATTTCGTGTTTTTTTATAGTTAAGCGATAAGAAATAAAAGAAAAAAAAATAGCCGCTAAAAAAGAAAAGCAATTCCTTGGCTGAAGAAAGCACAACGAAAGAACCAGAATCGAGGAGAGAGAAGGCAACCGAAAATCACCAAATCTTTCGCCGCTTTTTTTTTTGGTAAGTTCTCATATTATTTTTTTTGTTGTTTATTTATGAACAATTTGTAATTTTATTTTGGTTTAAATCTAAACAAGAAAGCAATCGAACAAGAGGAAGAAATACACATAGAATGCGAAGGCGATAGAAGTACTTTATCTCTCTTCTTTTTTCGGCTCTTCCCTCTCATCACTCTCTCACGCTTAGCCGCCCTCTCTTTATTGCTTCCTTCTGCTTCTCGACTTCGCCATTCGCCATCGCCTTGTTGCGGCCACCGCTTCTTCTTCTGCCACTTTCTTCCATTTCCCGTTGTACCACAACAAGCAGCGAAAGTTGCCTTCCTGACTTCAAGTCTTTTCATTTTTGTTATTGTCCCTCTCTCTGCTTCCTTTTTGGTGTTTTCTTTTTTTATTTTGTTCTTCTTCTGCCACGCAATTTTCTGTTTTTCTTCCTTTTTGCCTTGTTTTTTGTGCTTTTTGGAGAAAAACAGGAGAAATCCTGTTTGCAAGGGCATCGGCAAATTGGTTCTCTTGATTCTTCAAGAAGAATGGGGTGGTCTCTTCAAAGAAAAGAGAGAACTATCTTATTTTTGAGGAAGATTTTATTAAAGTTTTATGATCTTAAGAGTATCTCATAGTATCTTCTCCCATAACGACTTGTTGAATTAAAAATTGAAAAATTATACTGGAAATTATAAGCAAATTAGTTATCGTCGTGCCTTTGGGATTGAGTTATAACCGGCTTAGAGGCCTGCCAGCCAGAAAAGCCTGTAATTTGCATTTAATATTCAATAATCACTCTCCAACCTCTCCAACAAATTGCAATTTTCGAATCCCCAATGCCCACATGCTTCAATATTTCATTCATTTTGCGTAGCAACTTGCACTTTTTAACAAACTTTGTTTAGGTTTTTTTTTAACTTTTTTTTTTTTACCTTTTGGCTTTTAGTTTCGTTGACATTGCCCTGAACTTGAAGACAATAAACAAACAAACAAATAGACAGATAGACGGAGAGACAAATGATGAAGAAGAAAAAGAAATCCCCTCAATCATTATTGATTTTATCTTTTGTTAATTTTTCTTATAATTTTTTTTTTTTTTTTGCAAAAAATTGGTAAAAGTCAATAGATAATTATAGGTAATGAGCCAAGAATTACATTGCCCAATTGGCAATTATTGCAACAATTGTTAGATGATGTATGTATGTATGTGTGGGGTTAAGTACACTGAGAAAAAAATACTAAATATATTTACGTAAATAAGTAGTCTAGCTAGTAAATATAAACTTAAAACAGTATAAAAAAGGCTATAGTTTCTTCTATTATTTTGCGGGTATTTCCTTATTCAAATTTTAATATTTTTAGAAAATTAGAAAAAAAGAATTAAAAAAAACTGAAATATTAAAGTTGTTTCTTAAAATGTTTAAATATTCTCTGTGCTATTTCCTTTTGATTAAAATTTTTATGTTTGTAAATTTAATAGTTTTGGTATTTTAATAATAAAAAAAAACCACTTTTAAAGAAAAAATATAAAAAGTTTTTTTCTAAAAATCTGCAAGTATTTGCGTCTTTTTTTATTATTTTTTTACATCTTATTTTTTTTTAGTCTTTTTACAAAAATTTTAAAAAATCTTAAAAAAGCTAAACTATTTTCTTCTTACATTTTCCAAGTATTTCCCTTTCATTTTAAATTTGATTTTATTAATAATATAAATATAAAAAAAAATAAATTTTTTTCTCTGCCCTCCCAATAATAACGGGCGTTTCGAACTCGCAACTATTGTGGTCGAATCACGAATTGTTCGAAATTCAACTTTATTCGCTGGACTTGAGAGTTACGGTTACTGTTATTACCAATCCATGGTTTAATGCTGTTTTTTTTCTAGCCTTGTTTTTGTGTTATGTTTCTTGTTATGTTTTTGTTTTTGTTATTGTTATTGTTGTCTTGGCCGACACGCAAGAAGCAAAAGTAACACAAGAAAACAAAAACAAAGAGTATAGCAAGAAGGAGGAGTAGTTTTTTTTTGGGGGGGAGGGAGGTAGGGGGAGGTTAAAGCAAAAATAAAAAAAAAATTGAAATTACATAAAACCTTGGACAGCGGGGTAAAAAAATAAAAGCAAAAACACCTCATAGAGAGGAGATGCACTTGAAAAAATTAATTATAGAAAAATATTTTAATAAGTTAAAAATTTTATAAAAGATTTAAAAAGAAAGCCTTAAATTAGCAAGAAAATAATTAAAAGTTATAGAACCTTTTCTTTATTTTTATTCTATTAGCTATTTATTTTTTCGAGTGCTCTAGGCCTGGGAACCCTGCCTGTCTTCACCTTTTGATAATTTTTGCTTTAAGCCTGATGGAAGCAGTCTAAGCACGAGCCGGGTTTTTTTTTTATTTTATTTTCCAACGTGAGGCAAACGAACTCGAACTCGAACCCCAACTTGCCCAAGTCGCTTGATTAACCTTCTTTTTTTTTTATTTTTTTCATATTACAATATTTTT